TGAGCAATCTGCCACACATGTCTACAGGAGCCTACCACCCTGTCAAGCCCAAAAACTTGTCCGGAAGAACAACCACAATAATGAGAGTGCATGTGAATATGTGAACACGTTTCGCATTCGCCTAGGAAGGCAAAAACAACCGAAACGTATACAAATTAACGCATAAATAATGCCTGCAATGCATCCTCAACTCAGGGCATACCCCCCTATCACCCCACCCCAGAAGCACCCCGAAACAGCATGTACCTAGTTGCGCTTCCCCCTGGCGAATCTCCGTCATTCGATGCCAAATCCAGGTCGAACGAAGAATCACCATTGCCAGAAGGTGACCTCCAAGCGACTTCTAGCAACCCCCTTGATGAGCCTTAAATCCAACCCCAACCAGAGCCTTTTGCTCCACCTTGGGCGTTTTCGAACGGAGTCTTCCGGCATCATCTCCTTATTTTGCAAGATGGTTCTTTGTCTGCAACAAAACTGCAGAGCGCAGGACGTTTAACAATACAAACATCAAAGCAGGAACCCTTCTAGCCCGGCAGTACAGCCTGAGGGCAAGACTGCATTTACACAGAAATCCCTATGGAACAGCACCCTCTCCAGTGTCCATGTGGCGACAAGGTTTTGGGCCTGGGTTTGCAAGAAGGGCGTATGGAAACAGGCTGAGAAAAGAGCCAGCTCTCCGAAATCAATACACGCGGATCGGGCCTGGGAGAGACTTTCAGGACCCATAGTTCTTACACAGGAGCACTGAGATTCGAAGAAAACATTATTTTCAAAAGCTCCTGTGAACTGCCTACTCGGAATCAGGCAGCGACATATCTGAAAGCTTAAAGCGTCGCAGCCTTCCAGCAACATCCCTTGGTCTCAACACGCGCGCAAACTCTGGCGCTGTGCAGGTAATGCTGATGGAGACCAATTTGTTTGTGAAGTTGACTGCCCATGAAATTGGCCAAGCTTCCGGAGCTGGAACAAAGTGCTGATGATTGCGGTGCTGATGATGATTGTCATGGTGACTGGCGATGGCAGCTTGTGCTGTACTATTTCGTAGTCTTCTTGCTACTAGCGTACCACCACTACAAGTGCTCCTACTACAGCTGCTGCTGTTACTACCACTGCGACAAATATTCCCATAACGACGGCGATTACTACTGGCACATCTACCAAGATCCACACCCCTGCAGTCTAGTCAAATCCCCACAGCCCATACATCGCTGACGATCCTCAAAGGGCTACAGAAAGCCTCTGAACACCACAAATCAACCGAACTACCAATAGGAAGCCCTGACATAAAGGCCCCCTATTATCCTGATAGAGGAAGCGAGTCATCAACTGCGCCGGGTGTCCCTGGCTTTAAGAGCCGCCTTCTGCTGTTTTTGCCACTTGCTGGACAAACCTTGGGCTTCAACACACGCAATGCACTGCGCGCGATTCCAGCATCTGAGAAGACCCTTTTTTGTCGGCCACAGCTCACGGAGCCAACTGAAACTGGCATCTTTCATCAAATTCGAATGTGAGCTATAGTCCAAACTCCTAGTATCCCCCTTAATAGCTCCTATAGCACTCCCCTATATAATCCCCTATATAACTCCCATTAAGGAGTTAGACTATAGCTCATGTGAGGCAGAGTTGGAGCATTCCGGAATCCCCGCAGGGTTCACCCTTGCAGCCACAACAAGCAACTGGGTTGGCCCCTAGAACCCTTTGAAAAATATTGGTATATAGGGTCCTTTATTAAAGCCATTAGGGAAAATATTAAATATCCCAGGACCCTACCCAGGCAAAATGCAACCAAGAAACGACGCATCTGCAACCAACACACGATGGAAATGATGCCGACGATGGGCGTGATCAATGCCTGGTGTTGCAACGTCTAGCTAAACCACCCCAGGCCTCCAGGGTCTGCCAAAATCGCTTTATGTGGGCAAACTTGCATAGAGGTTCATTGGGTATAGGAATGATAATGAAAGATCAAATGGAAACCAACATGGAAAATGAAATGGGAAGTGAAGTTAGATAGGGATGGGGCTGGCAAGGATAAGTAAGTAATTAAACGTCTGCTCTAGAAAATGTGCCAACTCTATCCAAACACAGTCGACAAGCAACAAGCCTACATCAGACACCTGAAGGATGCCCGGGATCCTAAACGCTAAACCTGTAGTCTCCGTAAACCTAGAATAACAACAACATGTTAAATAATTCCTTGGGGTATATAGCTTAACAAAAAGAAGACTATTCCTAAGGAGACTACAGAAACCCACAACGGAGGCGCCTGAATGATGCCCGGGGCTGACATACTCATCGGCCCAAAACCTTGGAACATCTTCCCACCAGACCTTAGCACGTAGTGGTTTGGGTTAGGAGTTTGGGGGGGGGTGGGGTGAAGCTTGTGA